TTCCGGCGTGATGGTCAGTCCTTAGTGATTTTCTGAGTGTTCATTGGTCAGTTTCACACAGAATGTAGACGGACACACCAATCCACCAGTTCCACACGGTGAGAGGCAGATGACGTGTATCTCAGCCCCTCTTCATAGGCTCATAACTCTTGACTCGAACCTCAGAGACTCGACTTGGACTCTTACCTCAGAGACTCGAAACTCAACTCGGACTCTTACCTCAGAGACTCGAGACTCAACTCGGACTCTAACCTCAGAGACTCAACTCGGACTCTCACCTCAGAGACTCGAGACTCGACTTAGACTCTCACCTCAGAGACTCGAGACTCAACTCGAACTCTCACCTCAGAGACTTGACTCTGACTCTCACCTCAGAGACTCGAGACTCAACTCAGACTCTCACCTCAGAGACTCGACTCGGAATCTTACCTCAGAGACTTGAGACTTGACTCAGACTCTTGCCTCAGAGACTCGAGACTCAACTCTGGCTCTCACCTCAGAGTCTAAAGACTCAACTCGGACTTGAACTTCAGAGACTCAAGACTTGACTCGGACTTACACCTCAGACGCTCAACTCGGACTCACACCTCAGAGACTCAAGACTCAACTCGGACTTGAATTTTAGAGCCTTTGAGAGTCAACTCGGACTCTTACGTCAGTTTCACACAGAATGTAGACGGACACACGAATCCACCAGTTCCACACGGTGAGAGGCAGATGACGTGTATCTCAGCCCCTCTTCATAGGCTCATAACTCCGGATGTGAGTGTCGTATGATCTCGGGATAAGATGGAATGGGAAAGGGAGACTCTACAGATTCAGGAAGTGTTTGAACTGGATTTCTGAGCTGGATCATCACAAAGATACAGAAACACATATAGAAACTCGGAATTCAGAAAATAGAATCAGATATAGATGTTGAATTTGAGGTGCGGGCGAGTTCGCCAACCCCGTTGACCCTCTTTTAAAACAGAGAAATGAATTACATTAGCAGGAAATACATTCAGCAATGACGCTGATGACCTTTTGATTATGGATTATAATGTAAGTTTTCTCTCTCTCTCTCTCCCTCTCTCTCTCTCTCTCTCTCTCTCTCTGTTCAGCGGTGATTTATTAGCGTGATTGTTACGTGTTCTATTGTCACCAAAGCAATTAATATGAACATAATGAGAGAGAAAAAAGGGAAACGAAACCGAGAAGGAACAATCTCAGATTTATTTACTGCGTCATAAATCACCTGTCGAAGGAGAGAAAGGGATGAGGGAGCAATGTTTAAATGAAATAATTAGTCTCTCTCTCTCTCTCTCTCTCGCTCTCTCTCTCTCTCTCTCTCCCTTTTCTTTCTCTGTTTCTCCTCATTCTCCCTCTCTCTCTCTCTGTTTATCTCTCTCACTTACTGTTTCTCCTCATTCTCGCTCCTGCCCACTTTCTTTCTCCTCATTCTCCCTATCTAACTCTCCTCTCTCTTCTCTCTGTTTCTCCTCATTCTATTTTTCCCTCTCTCTCTCTGTCTCTTTCTCTGTTGTCCCTCATTCTCCCTCTACCTCTCTCTCCCTCTCTGTCTCTGTTTCTTCTTATTCTCCCTCTCTCTCTTCTCTCTCTCTCTCTCTCTCTCTCTCTCTCTCTCTCTCTCTCTCTCTGCCCCCCCCCTATGTATTACTCAGTGTGTATCTCTGTTTGTATATTATATCCTCAGCTGTTGCTATTATATTATGCAGTTTATGTGCAGGTTATGAAAATGTGCTGTGTATGTGTGTGTGTGTGTGTGTGTATGTGTATGTGTGTGTGTGTGTGTGTGTATGTGTGTGTATGTGTGTATGTGTGTGTGTATGTGTGTGTGTATGTGTGTGTGTATGTGTGTGTGTATGTGTGTGTGTATGTGTGTGTGTGTGTGTATGTGTGTGTATGTGTGTGTATGTGTGTGTGTCTATGTGTGTGTGTGTGTGTGTATGTGTGTCGATCGCCCTTGAGCTAAACCTGACCTACTGAATTAACAGCCCAACATCCATCTCCTCTCCCCTTTCATTATTATTATTACACACAATATTCAGCTTATTATGGACCAAGTTCAGTCTTCCAGGTGGCTGCTACTGAGTTCAGCTATGCTAATGTACTTTAGTCCATGTTTATAGATAACAGTGAGTCATACAGCGTCAGAAACCACATAATCAAGACTATTATAGATCACTGAACAGCTCCCTGCACTGGTGTTTGTGGTTAGCAGCATGCTAATCTGATTTAATTACAGTTGTCTACTTGTTAGAAGCCACTAATTGTAGGTGCTTTATCAGCCAACTGTGCACGAGCCAGTATAACACTTTAAAGGTGCTTTACAGTTTGTAGAGCATCTGATGTTGAGTTCTACAATCAGACTGCACTGAATTTAACACTGTGTGGCTACTGTATATAACTGTAAACATACTGTAATAATACATCAAAACATACAGCATCATCAGCTTTACTGTAAAACTAGGCACCAAAAGTACTTTTCTGAAGCAGCAAAGAATCACTTTCACTGCAATGCCTGGGAGAAATGAGTCCAGTGTGAAAACAAAAAATAAACATTTAAATATTTTGTTAAGTGCTCATGGACATTGTGAGTTTAAATACTTTATTTTCTTCTTTTTTATTCTTTCTTTGATGACACATCTTTCACATGATTGGCTGTTGGTTGTAAACATCATACTTTCGTGTGCGCATTCATGAGGATTAATCACAGCCTGAGTATCTACACCATGATAAATCCCAGCCTGAATATTTAAACTGGGATGAATTGTAGCCTGAGTAAACTGGGATTAATCCCAGCCCAAGTAAACCAGGATTAATCCCAGCCTGAGTAAACCAGGATTAATCCCAGCCTGAGTAAACCTGGATTAATCCCAGCCTGAGTAATCCAGGAATTATCCAAGCCTGAGTAAACCGGGATTAATCCCAGCCTGAGCTAACCGGGATTATCCCAGCCTGAGCAAACCGGGATTAATCCCAGCCTGAGTAAACCGGGATTATCCCAGCCTGAGCAAACCGGGATTAATCCCAGCCTGAGTATCTAAACCAGAATTAATCCAGCCTGACTGTCTAGATGGGGATTCATCCCAGCCTGAGTATTTAAACTAGAATTAATCCCAGCCTGAGTATTTAAACTAGGATTAATAGCAGCCTGAGTATCTAGATGGATTTATCCCAGCCTGAGTATTTAAACTAGAATTTATCCCAGCCTGAGTATTTAAACTAGAATTAATCCCAGCCTGAGTATTTAAACTAGGATTAATAGCAGCCTGAGTATCTAAACTTTGATAAATCCCAGACTGAGTATTTAAACCAGGATAAATCTCAGCCTGAGTATTTAAACTGGGATTGTTCCCAGACTGAGTATTTAAACCGAGATTAATTCCAGCCTGAGTATCTAAACCTGGATTAACAGAAAATTATTAACGCTGTTGTAAAACAAATTAATTGCATCTGTGTTTGTTGCGTTTAGTGAAGCTGAAACTCAGTCAGGAATCTCGTCTTGGTGATATCTGCTTTGTTGGACAGACTCCAGATCATCTAGCTCTTGTATAGTTACAAACTAAAACAAGACATAACATCAACAAAACAAAACACACCTTTATCTTTAAGCTGTTTCTCCTCATCTTCTGTTTTTCGTCTTTGTTTTTGCCCCCAAATTCATACGTTCTTTTTTCCTGGTGGCCTCGGGGCTCTAAGCAGCTGCTTATCTTGCTTATTAGGTAGAGCCGACACTACAAAGGGTTCTTTCAAAGTATGAAATGCCCACAAGTTGTTTCATTTGGGGCTGTAATGTCATAATTATAGCCAACAATGATTTAAACTTTTGTTGTTTGCCTGCTGAAAAAAAGAAGCTTTGTTTTTGGATTTAAAACACATTTGCCAAACAATTTACTATTATTTGCCAGCACTTCTTTCATTTTCATTTTGGCAGCCAAACAGACCCACTTGGCGTAGATCCTTAATAAGTATGACCTAATTTACATGTGCATTTTGGTTGGCTCTTGCTGAAGACAATGCTGAAAACACTGCAGTGATTAAGTCCCCAGTGACTTCAGCTCTTATTAACTGTGCTGCACATTTTGTGTGGAGTTTTGAGCCTATTGAGTCTTACCTTTTGGTAATAAACTGTTTTGCTTCCCGTTTGGAAATTTGCCACTCCAACCCTCCTGCTGGTGTGGGTTTCCTCACAGAATTATCATGGAGAAAATGAATTCACTGTAGATCAGGAGCAACATGTAAAAGGATTGCATTTTAATGTTTATGGTATAAGCATGTTTACATGTTGCCTCTTACTTTTCCAACCGTTAAATTTCACTTTTTGAGATGTATATTTTTTAGAAGCATTTTACATCATTTTTATCTCACTGCTAAAGAAAATTTAGTGCCACAAACCTTGGAACTTGGACAGCACCAGCGCTACAAGCTCAAAAAGTTTACACAATCTAGTATTTTTGGTTTAAAATTACTTTGTTACAGGAAAAAGTAATTACATTACTGTACAGAGCTGCTTTGTACCACATTACCACCAACACTGCTGCTGTTTAGCTCCAGGATTTAGTGTGTGTGTGTCCTGAGTGTGTTTGAGGCTGTGTGTGTGTTTTTTTTTTTTGTGGAGCCCAGAGGCGAGGCTTAAGCGGAACACACACACACACACACACACACACACACACACACACACACACACACACACTGCTCAGCTGCTCAGCTGCTGCTTCAGCTCAGCTCTCATTCGCGCTCTGGAGGAGGAAAAGCGTGCATCTCTTTCCATTTCTCCAGAGTGCGCGGTACACTATCTCTCTCTCCCTCTTTCTCTCTTTCTTTCTTTCTTTCTTTCTTTCTTTCTTTCTCTCTCTCTTTCTCTCTCTCTCTCTCTCTCTCTCTCTCTCTCTCTCTCTCTCTCTCTCTCACACCCTCAGCGTGGCGGAGGACCCGTTCTGGAGAAGCGATGCCATCTCTCTCTGCTTCCTCAGGCTGGAGTCGATCGGAGCAGGATGAACTTGTCTTTCTCCAGTTCCTTCCTCTTCTGTTCCTCCCTCTCTCTTCTCTTCCTCCTCTTCCTCCTGGCGCCTCGGTGCCAGACGCACCCGGAGCCGTGCCACCTGCTGGCAAGAATCGGGCACACGTTGCGCCTGGGCGCTCTGCTGCCCACCCGCCAGCCCGCCCGCGTCCAGGCGGCGCTCGGCCGGGCCCTGCTGCACCTGCAGCACGCGCACTCCACCCTGCTGCCTTACAACCTGAGCGTGGAGGTGGTGTGGGGGGGTCCGCGGAGAGCGGGAGACCCTGAGACGGCGCTCAGGTGCGTGTGTGAGGAGCTGGTGGTGAACGGCGTGTCGGCTGTGCTGGCGTTCCCACAGAGCCGCGACGAGCTCCTGCAGGTGGAGTTCATGGCCACGTTTCTGGAGATTCCCTTCATCAGCATCATCGAGCAGGGAGAGCCAATCAGGACGCAGGTGAGGCACTGTTAATTATCTTTGACTGTGGTGCACTTTTTCCTCCATAATTCAGTGTTTAAGATATAAATAGAGGGATTCAGAGTGGTTTGGTGTGAAATGGTTCAGATGTCTTTACAGTGGTGGTGATAGGAACCAGGGGTCGCCATGACTACAACACAGATATAGACATTTTATTTATTATCCAGAACCACCAGTGAACCTACACGAGTCTTCTGAGTTTATATGGATTGTTGATGATGGAAAATAGTGGAAAATTTGCTTATATCCCTCTACAATGACTGAGTTTTAATATATGTTTTAGTCCAAAATCTTCTCAAAACTATCATAAAACAGTGTCTCGGTCATCAGGCAGTGAATTCATAATCGTTTCCTGTAGTAACTTTCTGTGAGGGAGCTTTTAGAGGTGGACGTCTGGTTCCTATCACCACCACTGTGAACAGTTCTGACTGTAAGTTTCTCTAGAACAGAGCGTTTCACACCAAACCACTCTGAACGACTCTGATTACATCTTAACCGTTTGATTATGCATGAATACTGAATTACATGCTCATATCTCATATCTCTCTGAAACTAATGGAGAAACTGTGTGGAAAGTGCAGATTCTTTCGATCCAAATTGAATTTGAAGGTATCGTTCGTGTACAGTCTTGCTTTGCAGAAAACATTTTTGGCTATTTTTGTCATTTTTGGGGGCTTTGAAAGAAACCAGCCCAAACATAACCTAAACAGAATGTAAAATGTAATTCATTAGATAATTACAGCCCTATTTGAGCTGGATTAGTTTTAGCATACACTGTAAAAATGGTTCATCAACTAGTGGTTCATAAAACTAATTTTATTCAACTCATAAAATACATTGATTTAAAAAAATGTTCTTTAAAAATATTTATTTAGGTTCAATAAAACTGGTTAATGTTGTAAACACCAAGTTTTTAGGTTGATCTGATGACCCATTTTATACAGTGTAGGAGGTCTGGTAATGTAATCTGTGATTTTGACTGGCAGAATAAAGGATCTGTGTAATTTCACCAAATTACCCCAAATAGCCTGGATTGAAACATCACATGGACGTCTATGTCAGCATTACATGACAGATGCCACAATACCAAATAATAACAACACGCTGTGCTGCTAAACGATAGACTAGCATCAGGCTAGTGAAGTGGGTTCATTCAACTTACCAAATGCCGCCCAACGAGATAGAAACTGCACTGCCTTGCGAGAGGAACTTTCAAAATATTTGATTTTCCTTGTGGTTTTCGTTAGTCTGGTCATGAACCAAAGAATTATCCCTTGTGTGGTGTTGATGTGTTTGTTCCTCAGTGGTCTGCTGGACCCACCACATTATAGTTTTATAAATCAATACAACCATAACAGTTTATGTAAAAATACCAGATGTTTAAAATATCACAAGTGTCCAGCGTAGGGTTCTCCTTTAGCAGCTGTAGCCGGTCAGCAGCCTGTCCATGTTGTCCACCCTCACACACACACACACACACACACACACACACATGTACAAACACATACATACACAGACACACACACACACTAACAGCAGGCCATGTAGGAGGAGAACAGAGTGAAGGACACAGCACCTCCTCACTTTTACTCCCGCAGGTTCACCCAACACCACATGTGTAATATAAATGTGTGGGGGGTGAACAGAGTGAAGACACTGAAAATGAGTTATTTTATATGTTCTTCACAGAAAATGAGCAAAGATCAAGAATCTGAGGCTGAAATAATAATAAATCACATTATTTTTTCTTTTGGTAAACATTGAAAATGGGTCCCACAGACCTGAACACCGCACAAGGGGTTGAATCAAGCTCCATTTTAGACATTAGCCTCATCTTCAGATCGTTAAATAAAGGAAAAATGGTGCCATTTTCTATTACTTGGTTTTGTTGTTACCTTACTGTGATGTCAGTTGGGACAGGACTGCTATTACTGAAGGAGCTCCAAGTTTGTCCAACTATAGAAGATAATTCACTCCAGAATTATCAGTCAAATCAAGACACAAGTCACAAATCAGCTTTACAAACATACAAGTCCGAGCCCCACTGAGCATCACAGAGGGCAGCAGTGGCAGGAACAACGCTCTAAGAGCAGGCATGGCCGGACCTAGCTATGAGGACACTGAGGTCCAGACCTTGGTAGTTTAGAAGGGTTTTTCACTTCCCTCCAATCATGAGATTAAACGTAGAAACAGTGCTAATATGATAATACAGTCAACTCAGCGGCGCAGCCACAGTATTGCAAGCGCTGCCACTGTATTATGGCCAATCAAAATCTGCCGTTATTTCCTAAACCCTACAATTGCTGCTTAGCAACCGTTACTATCCGCAATTTCTTCAGTAAGTTAGCTAGTGTTCCTGTCTAGCGTTAGGACCCCGAGGTCCTCGGAAGTTTCTGAAGGTTTTATGAGATTTGAAATGGAAAAAGAGATGAAACTACACAGTGAGCAATGAGAGGTTCTCAGCTGACCTCAGAACAGCTGTGGTTCAGCCCTGGACTGAACTGCCCACTCTGTTCGTCTCTGTACGAGACACTACACAGTCCTGAGTACCAGAGTGACTTTGACTCCTTGAGATGTTCAGGTATGCTATAGGCTAATATGTAGCATAGCTATAATAAACATGTAAGCGTTTATGAGCATAATTTACATATTAGTGTCATCTTTCCATATTAATGTAAAATATACATTATTCATTTGTTTATTTGGAGCACTCACAACATTGCTAGGTAAATCATCATGCTTTTGTCTAGTTCCGGTAGTTATGTTAGTGATTAGATGAGAAATTAAAGCTGTATTTTGCTACCTACACATAACATACTGTGACCAGCATGAGACAGTTCACTGTTAACCAGCATATTGGTGGTACAGCATCATGTAGCTAACAATATTGAGAAATTACAAGGTACATTAGACTGTATTTAGTCTCGTTAACTGTATGAGTAGCTGCCTTTCCCTTTAGCTGGGGTTTGATAGAGACAGTGCTTTTCTGTAATCAATGAACACAGAGATGCAAAAGAAAGACAGAGAGAGAGAGAGAGAGAGAGAGAGAGAAGTATATGAAATAAAAATCAATTTAAAACTATTGATTTAGTGTAGGTTTCAATATGTATATTCAGCTGAAAATAAACATATAAGTAGTTAAATTATTCATTAAATACACTTAAACAGGGTAGAAGTCAAATCAGTTTAATGGTAACAGAAGTTTATGGAACAATGGAGGGATCGGGAAGAACAAATGAAAGGAAAAGGTGCACAACAGTTATCGATAGGTAAAAAAGGAGCAATGATTTTGTTAAAAAAGAACTAAATGAGAAACTTAATTCTCGTATTTGACAGTTATTTTGTTCACTCTTAGATGTTGGTCACATTTTTTGAAAAATTCTGATCCTAGGTGAAAGCTTGAGAGGAACCACGCCTCAAAAGGGGAACCTATCCTACTCTGGTCAACACTGGATGGCAAACAATCACACAACAAGTGACCGATGACTGTTAGAGGCCAATCAGAGTAGCAATGAGAAACAGATCTATGAGAATCAGAACAGTTAAACATTATTAGCAGTGAAAACCAGTAACTGCTGTTGGGAGTGAATCACAGTCAGAATAGGAGTTATATTCATGAGTGTCAATGAACAGCCTACAATGGTGAGGTGTTGAATGAAGCTCAGTGTGTTGTGAGGTGGTGAAACAATGTCTATAATAAAATAGTTCGAGTCTGTACAGCAGCAGCAGTATCGTCAGGAGGGTCAGTTCATGTAGGTGAGGCTTTCTGCACAGCACTGTACAGCAGGAAGCTCAAACTGGTCCAGGAGACGGCTGAGCAGTGGGCATCGATCAAGGCAGGTGAAGCAACAGCATCAGACCACACAGCATGGGCAGTTATTCAGCTCAACAGACACACAGAGACAGTTAGTTCTGTTCATACAGACTGATTACAGTTTACAGGGTTAACCGAGAGCAGCAGAGACTCCGGCAGGTCTAGTTATTACAGCCTAACTAAGAGGGAGGGACAGAAAGTAACTGAGATGTCAGCGCCACTGTCAACAAACCTGAGTGAGTGAGTGAGAGCAGCGGGACGACGGCACCAACACTCCCAGTTTACCATAATACTCTATGACCATGAACTATAACTTAGCACATTTGCAAAAACTACGAGCAGAGCAGATTCACACTGGATTAAATTATGTCATGGATCTGTTAATCATGTCCCCAGGTTAAATTATCCAGCTCCAATGCAATAGTTTATAGTGTAATTACCTTTAAATAGTATAGCGTTTATAAGCACTTTACACATAGATTAGCTGAACATTAACAGGTCATTACAGTTAATATGAAGTAAAATCAATTAAATAGCAGAACAGTTAGACATTATTTGATTATTAGTAGTTTAAAAAGATATTGTTACTTTCAGGACAAAATCTCATATATTATGCATTTTCATAATTTAAAAAAATATATATTTTTACAAAATTTCATGTCACTACCGAAATACAGTTTTACCCTATGGGCGGAACTTTGTTTTAGCCACGCCCCTGCATTTTAGAACAGGAAGTGAGGCTGCATCCCTGTCCCTCATGGCCACATGGTGAGCAGTTAGATTCGATTGTTTTTAAGTGAATGTGTCCCAAAATCTGAAAATCAGTGTGGAACATTTAACTGTCACTACCGACTGTCACTGCATTTACATAGCTTTTTATGTGAACAGCTGTTCAAAGCTGTGTTTGCTGGTCATGTTCTGGCTGCATTTTTTTAGTTCAAAATGAGTGAAAATTGTCACCACCGAAACAGTCACTACTGAAACACTTGGGAAAGTTTGGGTAGCGTTATGATTGTTTTGGTAGTGACAAAATGTAACGTTCAATCATTACTTTTAGTAAAATATACATGATTAAGGTACTGGGTCATGCAAACTCACTTAAAAACGATGGTTCTTCAAGGGTTCTTTAGTAAAGGTAATGGTTTGTCACATCGTAACAGTAGCA